TCCTAAATAAAGATTCCCATATGTTGCATAAGTGTCTCAATCTTCAACTTGTCGGTTTTCAAAACCATTCATCACAGAGATAAATCTATCCATAATATACAATATTTTATAAACTTTGTCATCTGTTACATTGTGTCTTTACTACATCTCTGTCTGACTGGTACAGTTACTCTGTAAAAAAGTCTTAGCACAATAGCATCTTTTGTTAGTTTTCTTAGCTTCAACATTGCTTTTGGTTTGTCTCTTGCAAAAACTAATTTTTGAAGCATATTCAACCTTATTTTATTAATTATTGCAGATTTAGTGTCTTACCTAGTGTTAATCTTTCTCCCTGCTGCCAATATTCACATTAACCCTTTGACTGTTTCCGACGTATAAAACGTCTACGAAGCCAATGCTTTCTGACGTATTTATACCACAAATTCATAGCGGCTATTAAATCGATGCGCCAAAGTCCTGATAGGCTACATGGGGAGAGAATGGGGTCTCAGTGGTCGGTGTGCACCCTGTGGAAAAAATCTGGACCTAGCGGGCATTGTGGAACCCATGTTGTCAGTACCACTTTCACCAATGCCCCTCGAAAAGTCCTCACACCCGCGGATTGGAAGGTCTCTTTGTTCCAAGTGATACTTTAAACAGCAGCGATGAAGGTGTCAGGACAGTGAATTCAAGAGTTTTTCAATGAGTGTTACTCGAAAAAAAGTGCCCAGGAATAACGTAAACTAGTGAGGAAAACCCAGATGACCACAACCTTCGACCTCTGGTGCGTGCCGGCTGTTCACTTGTCAGGACACACATACTGTGAATACACCATGGCAAATACAATTCTCTCACCAAAATCACGGCTACACAAGTGGAAGGAGACAACTGTGGCAGAGATGTACCTGTTTTTTGCCACAATAATGCTTATGCCACATGTGTATAAGCACACTGTCACCACATACTGGACAACAGATCGCCTGATTTCAACTCCAGGTTTTAGTGACATTATAGGTGTCAATCGTTTCCTGATACTGTTGCGTATGTTACACTTTTCAGACAAAACCAGGCCTGACAGAAGCGACAGGTTATATAAGATAAGAAATGTGTTTATGTACCTGAAACAAAAGTGCTGCATGTATTTTTATCCCTTCAGGAAGCTTGTTATTGATGGAGTCCTTGATTTTATTCAAAGGAAGACTCTCATTCAAGCAATATATACCAAGCAAGAGGAAACGCTTTGGTATAAAGCTATTTGTACTGTGTGATTGCAGAAGTGGTCTTGTTTTAGATATTATTGTGTACACTGGCAGTAATACTTTGAGAGATACCATGAAGTTATTGGGTATCTCTGGTGATGTGGTTCGAACAATGATGGAACCATATCTTGGTAAGGGGCATATGTTATTTACTGATAACTGGTACACAAGCCCCTTACTCAGTGATTTCTTGCGAGTGAACTTGACAGACGTGTGTGGCACAGTGCGTGGTAATCGCAAACATATGCCAAGGTTCGACGCTGGCACTCGCAGAGGTGAGGTGCAAGCCTTTGCTGCCAATGACATCATGGCATTTCGGTGGCATGACAAAGTGATGTCACATTGTTGACATCAGTTCACACAAACGAAATGGTACCCAGTGGCAGGGACAAAGAGAGACCAATGAACCCATTCTAAAGCCTGCAGCTGTCATGGACTACAACCTCAATATGCGCTTAGTGGACAAATGTGACATGCAGATTGGGTTTGCAGACTGTGTACGCAAGAGTTATAAGTGGTATATCAAACTTTTTTTCCATCTTGTTGATATCTCTATGCTAAATGCTTATAACATATACAAGTTGAAGACCAACAAAACACCAAAATATGGTGAATTTTGCCTGTCAGTAATCAGACAAATAATTGCAAAGTACAAAGGAGCAACTCCTGCAATAGACCAGCGCCCACAGACGTCATCTCGTATGAGGCCTGGTGATCACTACCCCATACAACTGCCTCCTACTACTGCCAAGAAAAATGCTCAGAGAGGTGTTATGTATGTATGCATACCACAAAACGCCCACAAACATGCAGAGACACTCGTTTTATGTGTGAGGAGTGTGAAGTGCCCCTCTGCATATACCCATGTTTCAAAGAGTTCCACAAGCTGCAGCAGTTCTAGGAACGTGGTTAGTGACTGTACATATGTATATATATTATGGAACAATAGTAATAAACATTGTTTTGTATTGTTTGTTTGTGTAAAACAAAGTGTATACACAAACTAATAGTGATAAAGTTTGTTCTGTTATTGTGTTGTAAATAATGAGTGTATATTTGAACAATGCACCTTACATTGGTCTCACAGGCCACATAAGTTACCTGGAAAAGAAAAATATTGAAAAATGCAAGAAACCTTTGAATTAGAGTAAATAAAAGAATACCGGGTGGGCGGCAGTCGCCGCTGTTGCCGTACGCACGTCAATTTCTGCAAACTTTGCGGCTCTATATCTCGGTAAGTACTGATGGCAAAAATTTTTTTTAGGCTTAAAACACTAGTAAAAATATTCCTAACATTTTCATAAGAAAAAATAATTTTTTTTTTTCGAATATTTGGCGACATAGAATGACAGTTTCAGAGAGGGCCCTGAAACAGTCAAAGGGTTAATCTGGTATATGGGTTAACTGTGTTTTATTGACTACAAATGGGCCATTAAAACTACCCATAACCTATTCACAGACATTCAAGAATACTTTAAATCCTAAAATAGCAATTAAAATTAACTCTTAGCATAAATACAATGAGAGAGAAACATCTCTTGGTGTATATATTCTTACTCAGTGATCTGTGCCTTTGTATTGCTTATCATTATCCTAGCTTCTGTAATGCTAATAGATTTCTCTCTGTGTACATAGATGTTTTAAGCTTCTTCACAATCATCCTGATTTTTTAAAAGTTTATTTTTTGCAACCATTTATTCTCGGTATTTTTGCCTGTTCTTTGCAAATAAACCTGTAAGCTGTACTTATTCTCTTACTCTTTCCTTGCTTTCTTCTTTCTTCCTGCTCACTACATTCAGGTAAGCCTTTCTAGTCATTTTCGCCACAGTCTTTCTTTCCTTTTAGAGACCCCTTTTTTTTTTTTTTTTTTAAGAAGCATTTCCTACCACAATGTAGTAGGTGAATTACTATACAGTGGACCCCCGGTTAACGATATTTTTTCATTCCAGAAGTATGTTCAGGTGCCAGTACTGACCGAATTTGTTCCCATAAGGAATATTGTGAAGTAGATTAGTCCATTTCAGACCCCCAAACATACACGTACAAACGCACTTACATAAATACACTTACATAATTGGTCGCATTGGGAGGTGATCGTTAAGCGGGGGTCCACTGTATATCATTCCTTAAAAACCTAACAATTTCTCAACATTCTACCCTCTTGTATCTTTCCACATTATCTGTTTTCATCAAACCCTGTAATACTAAATCTTTAATGCTGCTTTTTCCTCTTCTCATTTTTTTATTTGTCAGTGATTCCTATCAGCACATTGTGTGCCTAAAAAATTTCTTCAATGATGACTATCTACTTTAAATTCTTAATAAAATTCATAGGAAATATAAAACCCAGTTTGTTTGTTTCTTTGATAATTGTTTTGATGTAGAAGAGTCACAGCATGTCAGAATGCAGTAGATGAATTATATTATACCTTGAAACATAATTATTTTATAATAAACTACCCTCCTGTGTCCTTTCTACATTGTTTATTTTCTTCATACCTTTGTAATAATGTACTCTGTTCCCTTTTTATTTTTTTTCCCAACAATACACTGTACGTACTGTGGTAGTCATTTGAAAAAGAACTTTGGGAAATGATCCCTTATATAAAGAAGTTGTAAAACCAGGAAGCTAATAATAAAGATATTATGGCAGAATATAATAATTTATTGCAACAACATTTCATTAGGAGACCAAGCTTTTTCAAATCTAAGGGGTATATGTAGTTTGGAGAGTAGGCGACGAGTAGTTGTGAAATGCAAACCTGACTGTCAGGTCAGGAGAGCAATGTTTGCTGAAGAGCATGTGAGCCAAAGGTTCACCAGCTGAAAACTTTCCTGGCTCTGAATGATTTGGTTCTATGGTATGAGTCAGAGCTACTTCAAGGCATTTTATTGTGTTTCTCTTTTTCATGGATAACTACATTCACCCTATAGTGTGAGGTTATGTCATGATGTAAGGTACAGTTGATGTTATTAGTGCACAAAGCATATCTGTGTTAGTATACGTGTGTGGATAAATCCCTAGCCATTTCACATATGTATACTTAATTACAGCCACTATAAGAAATGTTATAGAGGCCAGCATTGTCCTCAGAGTTGGCAGCCTTCTTAGGTCTAGTAACATCTTCAGTACTGATGAAGGTGATGGTGACAGTAACATTTTGGGGAAATTGGAGATGCATTGATCTGGTGCTACATTCTGCATCTGTCAATCTAGTTTGCTCGAAACTGTTCAGAACATCGTGTATTTAGAATGCAATAATACCGTACTGCTACCAATCTTGCTAATGCAATTTTGTATTTTGTTTAGTAGTATTTTTATTCTAACATTATGTGAACAGCTATTCACTGTTAATCAACCCCAATAGTAGAATTCATAAGACTAAATAAACCTATACAGTTAAATAATTGAATTTAATTGACATTGGGACTTTTTTTGTAGAGGTGGCTAATTAATTTTGTCCATCCTTGGGACTAATGTGCAGTCAAATAATTAATTTATTTATTCAACCTTAGCAGAGCAATCAACAGATTGATAGATCATATTTATATCACTTCAAGACTTCTTTCCAAAAACACAGATAATTGGACTAGTTGGTGATCAAATAACAGATGAATGACTGTAAGTTACAAAATTATAATAGCATCAATTAAATGAAACACAAGTCTTTCATTTAATTGAAATACGAATGTATGCTTGTACATTTTCTCTAAAAGTTTTATTATATTGTTAGTGGAGCCTTAACAGTTTTTATGTAGCAGATATCTTCAACATCAAGAAACTGCTTAAGGAGTATCGTCGTGACCAGAGGACACTATTAGAACCTGTCAAACCTGATGGCTTGGATTCTTCAGGCAAGGTGGTGTGGGCAGCAGTCATTATGTAAGGAATTAGGCTCTTGCTTTGGTTGATTGCAACATCATAGGTAACTGTTATGTTGCAATTCCTTAATGTTGAATATTATTGCAATAATGTTACTTCTAAATATAATAAATTTTATTTAAAGACATTGTTATAGAGAAAATAACAATAATGCACTCCCAGTTTCAGAATGAGATGCACTCTTGAAGTTTTTTGGAACTCTGTTCGTATCTATTTTCCCATAGAAAACCTTATTTACCAAAGAGATTTTGTCTTTCGTAGGCAAATACAATAGAAAACAGTACTGTTGCAATTTGTACATGTACATAGTAGAAATTGCAAAGAAGTCAGTATAGTTTCACTGTCAATTTTTTTTTTAACACAGCCATTTGACCCAAAAAGAAAGAAAAAACTTTCATCATCATTTCACACTTTCACCATCATTCATACATAATCACTGTCTGTGCAGAGGCACTCAGATACAACAGTTTAGATGTCCCTCCAAGCTGCCAATATTCCAAAACCCTCCTTTAAAGTGCAGGCATTGTACTTTCTATTTCCAGGACTCAAGTCTGGCTTACTGGAAAAGAATTTCATGGGCTCCTCTATCAAACTGGCTTATATATATTTTATATTCAGTATCAAATGTTTTGATTTCCTAATGCTGTTTACAGTGTGAACCTACCTCACTCATCTGTGTGTGAGCCTCAGCCACCTCTCCCACTTCCATCCTCCTACTGTACCACCAACACTGACCAATCTCTTCCTTACATCTCTGCCTGCATATCTACAAGTATCAAATATTTCCATCTTTGCATTTGTGGCTTTGTTTCTTGTAAGCATTTAACAGACCTCTGTTGCTTCATATTAAATCCCTGACACACAATTTAAAACTATATTTTTTTTCTTTAAGATGCTGGCTGCCTCCCACCAAGGTGTGGTCATCTGAAAATGAAACATTTTCACCATCACGTGCACTATCACTGTCTTTCCAGAGGCACACAGATACGAAAACTATACCATACACATAAAAAAAACATACTTTATTTGGAATATTTAATTCCAAACTGTTCAAAAATATATATGTCTATTCCAGCAACGGTGCCAACTTTGTAATGAAATTAGGTGCTTGGGCTTTTACTGGATCACATAGTTTGTTTGCGGAGGCTTTGCATTCCTTCGCTGATGTTACAAATCAGCTCATCCTGGCCTATGGTATTCACAAGTCGAAACAAGTGAGTAGAAAGCAGCAGTACAGCTGCACAATCAGTACCTGATAAACTTGGTACTAAAATTACCTTGTCAGAAAATGAGACTAAAAATATTTAGAGAATTTTTTTTTTTTTTTAATTATGTTCATTTCTAATATTTACAGTGTGTAAATATTAAAAAGAATTTGCATGTTATTTCTTTGTATCATAACTAGTGTATGCCAAGCAACAAGACTAGGGATTGTGTACCAAGCTACAAGACTAGGGATTATGTACCAAGCTACAATACTAGGGATTGTGTACCAAGCTACAAGACTAGGGATTGTGTACCAAGCTACAAGACTATTTAGGGATGCATGCCAAACAATAAGACTAGGGGTTGTGTACCAAGCAACGAGGCAATGAGCACAAAGAAGTGTGAATAAATGAACCTATTTACTAAATGATCTTTGGTAAATACATATTATTGAATCATGGGGACTACAAAGCACATGAATTCTGGAGTTTGACTCTACTGTCCCTAGTCTCTTGATAAGACTAATATGGCATAGAGGGGTACAGAGACTGGGAATGTAAGGTAGCAAGCAAATGCAGTAGACTGAATTTTGCTAGGGGCTGAGATGTGGCTAAATAAATGGAAAGGGAGAATTTCATATAATATGGGAAATCAAGATTTTTATAATGAGAAGGAAAAATAGGAATATGCACTAAATATTTAGGATAGCTGTATTAACTTACATGCACAATACAGTTAATATTTTTATGTTTATATGTAATTCCATTGGGTAATATGTATCCAGCATATTTTGCCTTAGAATGAACATGGCATGCAGTATAGGTAGTGCTATATAAAAATTATGGAGGCCTAGTAAATTTTTTCCTAGTGATACCTTTCACATTTTCAGAGTGCTGATGTAGTTCATCCTTATGGGTACACCACAATGAGATATGTTTCTTCATTAATTTCTGGGGCAATGATCTTTTGTGTGGGTGCTGGCCTATCCATTCAGCATGGCATCTCTGGGCTCCTAGGACCAACAGAGGTATGTAAAAATGAAAATTCAATGATTGATTACATGATCTGAAGGAGTAGGGTGTTGGCAGTTAATTGAAAGTCTGGTTTATCAATTTTTTTAAGGTGGGGCACACATTGGCTTTATCAGTGAGAATGCTAAAACATGTTTATGCATGTATTTGATACCAAAATCACATAGACTTACAAATATAGTACAGTATGACTTTTAACCCTTAAACTGTACCGCCAGCACTCCAAACATAGATCTATTATTGTGATGGCATTTCTTTCCTCAACAAGTCAGCCGTCTCCCACCGAGGCAGGGTGACCCAAAAAGAAAGAAAATCCCCAAAAAGAAAATATTTTCATCATCATTCAACACTTTCACCTCACTCACACACAATCACTGTTTTTGCAGAGGTGCCCAGAGTACAACAGTTTAGAAGTATGTACGTATAAAAAATACACAATATATCCCTCCAAACTGCCAATATCTCAAACCCCTCCTTTAGAGTGAAGGCATTGTACTTCCCATTTCCAGGACTCAAGTCTGGTTATATAAAATAACCGGTTTCCCTGAATCCCTTCACTAAATATTACCCTGCTCACTCTCCAACAGCTCGTCAGGTCCCAAATACCATTTGTCTCCATTCACTCCTATCTAACACGCTCACGCACGCTTGCTGGAAGTCCAAACCCCTCGCCCACAACACCTTTACCCCCTCCCTCCAACCTTTTCGAGGATGACCCCTACCCCGCCTTCCTTCCCTACAGATTTATAAAGTTCTCCATGTCATTCTACTTTGATCCATTCTCTCTAAATGACCAAACCACCTCAACAACCCCTCTTCAGCCCTCTGACCAATACTTTTATTAACTCCACGCCTTCTAATTCCACATCCCGAATTTTCTGCATAATATTTACACCACACATTGCCCTTAGACAGGACATCTCCACTGCCTCCAACCGCCTCCTCGCTGCTGCTTTACAACCCATGCTTCACACCCATATAAGAGTGTTGGTACTACTATACTTTCATGCATTCCCTTCTTTGCCTCCGTAGATAACATTTTTTGCCTCCACATATACCTCAGTGCACCACTCACCTTTTTTCCTTCATCAATTCTATGATTAACCTCATCCTTCATAAATCCATCTGCTGACACGTCAACTCAAGTATCTGAAAACATTCACTTCTTCCATACTCCTCCTCCCCAATTTGATATCCAATTTTTCTTTATCTAAATCATTTGATACTCTCATCACCTTACTCTTTTCTATGTAGGTTTGAAATAACAAATGATGAAGAACTAGCATGTTACCTCTCATTCACTGGTTTGACTGAACCTTCTTAAGCCATATCTCAACACATTATCAACCATGTTCACTGCTGTAGTATAGTAGAATTTTTTTTTATTATTATCATCACCACACTGGCCGATTCCCACCAAGGCAGGGTGGCCCAAAAAAGAAAACCTTTGACCATCATTCACTCCATCACTGTCTTGCCAGAAGGGTGCTTTACACTACAGTTTTTAAACTGCAACATTAACACCCCTCCTTCAGAGTGCAGGCACTGTACTTCCCATCTCCAGGACTCAAGTCCGGCCTGCCGGTTTCCCTGAACCCCTTTATAAATGTTACTTTGCTCACACTCCAACAGCACGTCAAGTATTAAAAACCATTTGTCTCCATTCACTCCTATCAAACATGCTCATGCATGCCTGCTGGAAGTCCAAGCCCCTCGCACACAAAACCTCCTTTACTCCCTCCCTCCAACCTTTCCTAGGCCGACCCCTACCCCGCCTTCCTTCCACTACAGACTGATACACTCTTGAAGTCACTCTGTTTCGCTCCATTCTCTCTACATGTCCGAACCACCTCAACACCCTTCCTCAGCCCTCTGGACAACAGTTTTGGTAATCCCGCACCTCCTCCTAACTTCCAAACTACGAATTCTCTGCATTATATTCACACCACACATTGCCCTCAGACATGACATCTCCACTGCCTCCAGCCTTCTCCTCGCTGCAACATTTATCACCCATGCTTCACACCCATATAAGAGCATTGGTAAAACTATACTCTCATACATTCCCCTTTTTGCCTCCAAGGACAAAATTCTTTGTCTCCACAGACTCCTAAGTGCACCACTCACCCTTTTCCCCTCATCAATTCTATGATTCACCTCATCTTTCATAGACCCATCCGTTGACACGTCCACTCCCAAATATCTGAATACATTCACCTCCTCCATACTCTCTCCCTCCAATCTGATATCCAATCTTTCATCACCTAATCTTTTTGTTATCCTCATAACCTTACTCTTTCCTGTATTCACTTTTAATTTCTTCTTCTTTGCACACCCTACCAAATTCATCCACAATCTCTGCAACTTCTCTTCAGAATCTCCCTAGAGCACTATGTCATCAGCAAAGAGCAACTGTGACAACTCCCACTTTATGTGTGATTCTTTATCTTTTAACTCCACGCCTCTTGCCAAGACCCTCGCATTTACTTCTCTTACAACCCCATCTATAAATATATTAAACAACCCACGGTGACATCACACATCCTTGTCTAAGGCCTACTTTTACTGGGAAAGAATCTCCCTCTTTCCTACGTACTCTAATTTGAGCCTCACTATCCTCGTAAAAACTCTTCACTGCTTTCAGTAACCTACCTCCTACACCATACACCTCAACATCTGCCACATTGCCCCCCTATCCACCCTGTCATATGCCTTTTCCAAATCCATAAATGCCACAAAGACCTCTTTAGCCTTATCTAAATACTGTTCACTTATATGTTTCACTGTAAACACCTGGTCCACAACCCCCTACCTTTCCTAAAGCCTCCTTGTTCATCTGCTATCCTATTCTCCGTCTTACTCTTAATTCTTCAATAATAACTCTACATACCCTTACCAGGTATACTCAACAGACTTTTTTTTTTTTTTTTTTTTTTTTTTTTTTTTTTCTTTTTTCTCCAACAAGTCGGCCGCTCCCACCGAGGCTAGGTGACCCAAAAAAAAAAAAAGAAAGAAAATCCCCAAAAAAAAATACTTTCATAATCATTCCAACACTTCACCACACTCACACATTATCACGCTTTTGCAGAGGTGCCCCAGAATACAACAGTTTAGAAGCATATACGTTAGAGATACACAACATATCCCTCCAACTGCCAATATCCCAAACCCCTCCTTTAAAGTGCAGGCATTGTACTTCCCATTTCCAACTCAATCCGACTATATAAAATAACCGTTTCCTGAATCCCTTCACTAAATATTACCCTGCCTACACTCCAACGATCGTCAGGTCCCAAGTATCATTCGTTCCATTCATCCTATCTAACAGCTCATGCACGTTGCTGGAAGTCCAAGCCCCTCACCCACAAAACCTCCTTTCACCCCCTCTTTCCAACCCTTTGAGGACGCCCCTTCCCCCTCTTTCTTCCCCATAGATTTATATGCTTTCCATGTCATTCCCACTTGATCCATTCTCTCTAAATGACCAAAACCACCTCAACAACCCCTCTTCTGCCCTCTGACTAATGCTTTTATAACTCCACACCTTTTCCTAATTTCCACACTCCGAATTTTCTGCATAAATTTACACCACACATTCCCTTAGACAGGACCATCTCCACTAGCCTCCAACCCGTTCCTCTCGCTGCTGCATTTACACCCAAAGCTTCACATCCATATAAGAGGTTGGAAACTACTATACTTTCATACATTCCCTTCTTTGCCTCCATAGATAACGTTTTTTGACTCCACATATACCCAACGCACCACTCACCTTTTTTCCCCCTCACAATTCTATGATTAACCTCATCCTTCATAAATCCATCCGCCGACAAGTCAACTCCCAAGTATCTGAAAACATTCACTTCTTCCATACTCCTCCTCCCCAATTTGATATCCAATTTTTCTTTACTAAATCTTTTTTACCTCATCACCTTACTCTTTCTATGTTTACTTTCAACTTTCTACCCTTTACACACATTCTCAAATCATCCACTAACCTTTGTAATTTTTCTTTAAAATCCCCCATAAGCACAGTATCATCACAAAAAGAAAACTGTGTCAATTCCCCTTTTGAATTTTTCCCCATAATTTAACCCCACCCCTCCCCGAACCCCCTAGCATTTACTTTTTTTACAACCCCCTCTATAAATATATTAAACACCATGGTGCATTACCACCCCCGTCTAAGACCATTTTTTAGGGGAAAAAAAAAGTATTCTCCCCTTTCTCCCAACCCTAACCTGAGCCTCACTATCCTATAAAAGCCTTTACCTTTAAATTTTACCCCTTTTCCCAAACTTCAACATCTCCCACATTGCTCCTCTTCCATCATCATATCCCCTTTTCTAAATCCATAAAGAAAAAAAAAATTTCCCCTACCTTTATCTAAATACTTTTCACATATATGTTTCAATGAAACACTTGATCTACACATCCCACCCACCGAAGCCTCCTTGCTCGCCCGCAATTCTACATTTGCTTACCTCAATTCTTTAAAATTAAACCCTACCGTATACTTTTCGGTATACTCAGTAAACTTTTTCCCCTTAAAATTTTTTACAATCTCTTTTCCCCCTTTCCCTTTATATAAAGGGACTATACATGCTCCCGCCAACCCCCTGGTACCTTCCCCTCTTTAAAAAAATTTTAACAAAAGTCCAAAACCCCCACCAACACTAAACCCCCCCTGTTTTTAACTTTCTGTCATGATCCCACATTCCAGTGCTTTCCCCCCCTTCATTCTACGTAACCCTCACGTACCTCCACCACACTTACATTCCGCCCCCTTTTTTCATTTCCAAAAAAGAGGGTTTAATACCTCCCTGGCCCAATGCATAAATTCCCCCGCCCCCCTTTTTCTTCCTTAACTTTTAAAAAGGGTTCCCTCAAAAATTCTCCCCATCTACCTAATACCCCCCCTCTACCCATTTTTCAAAACCTCCCCTACCTGTTTTTAACTGACAAATCCATATTTTCCCCCTAGGCTTTTTTTAAC